AAATTAAAACAAAATTAAAAAAAAAAAAGAAGAAAAAAAACATTCCTGGAAACAAATGAAAATAAACACAATACAATCCCAAAAAGCAATCCTGAGAGGAAAGTTCATAGCACCACACACATACCTCACAAAGCAAGAAAATTAATTTAAAAAAATTTAACACTACAACTTAAAGAATTAGAAACAGAACCATAAGATAAGCCCAGAGAAAGAAGGAAGGAAATAATAAAGATTGGAACAGAAATAAATGATATAAAGATTTTTTTAAAAATCAATGAAACCAAGAGCTAGTTATTTGAAAAGATAAGCAAGATTATGAACTGTTAGCCAGACTCATCAAGAAACAAAGCATAGGACCAAAAACAAAACAAAATCAGAAATGAAAGAGGTGAAGTAACCACTGACACCACAAAAATACAAAGATTGTAAGAAAATACTATGAACTATTTTTATGTCAACAAGCTAGACAATATCGATGAAATGGACAAATTCCTAGAAAAAAATACAATTTCCCAAAATTATATCAAGAAGAATCAGAAAACCTGAATTGGTCAATACCAACTGATGAAATTGAAGCAGTAAACAACAACAACAAAACTCCCAGCAATCAAAAGCTCTAATCCAGATAGCTTCACAGGGAGTTGCACCAAACATTCAAAGAATAACTAACTCTTACACTCTGCAAACTATTGCAAAAATCAAAGAGGAAGGAACATGTCCAAGCTCTTTTTATGAGGCCTACATTACCCTAATCCCAAAACCAGATAAAGACACTACAAAGATAGAAAATTACAGGCCAATATCCCTGATGTACATAGATATTAAAATCCTCAATAAAGTATTAGCAAATTGGGTCCAGCAATATATTAAAAAGATCATATTCCAAGACCAAACGGGATTTATTCCAGGGATGCAAGGCTGGTACAATGTTGGTAAATCAATAAACATGGTACATCACATTAAAAAATTGAAAGACAAATATCAAATTATAATGAAAATACATTCGGAAAAAGCATTCAACAATATCCAACACCCATTTTTTATAAAATCTCTCAGCAAAATGAGAATAGAGGGAACATATCTCAACGTGATAAAGGCCATATATGACAAACCTACAAGGAGCATCATACTCAATAGGCAAAATTTAAAATCATTTTCTCTAAGAACAGGAACAAGACAGGGATGTCTGCTTTCACCACTCTTATTCAACATAGTACTGGAAGTCCTAGCCACAGCGATTAGACAAAGGGAAGAAATAAAAAGCATCCAAGTTGGAAAGGAGGAAGTAAAACTGTCATTAACAGGTGACATGATATTGTACATGGAAAACCCTAAGAACTACACCAAAGAACTACTAGACTTAATAAACAAATTCAGCAATGTAGCAGGATACAAAGTTAACACCCAGAAATCTAAGAAATTTTTATACACCAATAATGAACTCTCAGAAAGAGAAACTAAACAAATAATCCCATTTACCATAACAACAAAAAACTTGAGATACTTAGGAATAAACCTAACCAAGGCAGTAAAAGACCTTTACTCAGAAAACTATGAACATTTAAACAGAGATAGAGGAAGATATAAACAATGAAAGAATATACTATATTCATGGATTGGTAGAATTAACATCATTAAAATGTCCATACTATCCAAGTCAATCTACAGATTCAATGCAATCCCTATTAAAATACCACCAGCATATTTCACAGATCTAGAATACTCCAAAAACTTAAATAAAATTTAAAAAGACTGAATAGATACAGCAAAGCAATCTTGAGAAATAAAAATAAAGTTGGAGCAATCACAATACCAGATATCAAGCTGTATTACAAAGCCACTGTTCTCAAAACAGCCTGGTACAGGCACATGTACAGGAATATAGATCAATGGAACAGAACAGAGACCCCAGAAATTGCCCCAAGCCATTAACTCAGTTGATATTTGACAAACAATGGAGTAAAGACAGTCTCTTCAATAAACTGTGTTGGAAAAATTGGACAAATACATGCAGAAAAATGAAACTAGAATACCGACTTACACCATACACAGAATTAACTCCAAATGGATAAAGGACTTAAATGTAAGATGGGAAACCATCAAAATCTTAGAGGAGTAAAAGGCAGTATATATAATCTCAGACATCTCATTTAGCAATATGTTCAGATACATCTCCTAGGACAAAGGAAACTAAGGAGAAAATAAACAAATGGGGCTACCTCAAAATAAAAAGCTGCTGTACAGCAAAAGAAATCATCAACAAAACCAAAAGAGAGCCCACTGTATGGGAGAACTTATTTAGCAATGATACAGCTGATAGAGGGTTAATATCCAAAATGTATAAGGAACACATACAATTTAACAAAAGGAAGACAAACAATCCAATTAGGAAATGGACAAAAGACATAAATAGACATTTCTCCAAACTGGACATACAGAAGGCCAAGAGACATAAAAAATGCTCAAAGTCACTGACCATCAGAGAAAAGCAAATCAAAACAACAATAAGGTACCATCTCACACCTGTCAGAATGGCTATCATCAACAAATGAACAAATGACAAGTGCTGGCAAGGATGTGGAGAAAAGGGAACTCTTGTACACTGCTTGTGGGAATGCAGACTGATGCAACCACTGTGGAAAACAGTATGAAGTTTCCTCAAAAAATTAAAAATGGAACTCCCATTTGATCTAGTGATCCCACTTCTAGGAATATATCCTAAGAAACCCGAAACACCGATCAGAAAGCATGCATGCACCCCTATGTTAATAACAGCACAATTTACCATAGCTAAGATCTGGAAACAGCCTAAGTGCTCATCAGCAGATGAGTGAATAAAAAACAGTGGTACATCTACACAATTGAATACTACGCTGCAGTAAAAAAGAAGGAGTTCTTATATTTGCAACAGCATGGATGGAACTGGAGAGTATTATGCTAACC